TCTGTTGATGTCATGCAAACTTGTAGAATGCGACATTGGACCACGCTCTTGACATTTCATTTTTGGTTCAATTGCAAAGCCCTGCTCTTGGGTTCCCCTAGTTGCATGTATTTGATATCTGTTTGCACTTGTCCTGTTGTAAAACTGAGGTGGCTTTTGCTCATAATGAGCCTTTTGCCAGAGCTTGCCATTGCAGCCTCTCTTTGAATCGTATATGACTATAAATGTAATGTCAGCTGTCTTCAGCTGGAAGATTAAAGTCAAAGCATCATTCCCCTGCATTTGCATCTGCTGTCCCATTGGTTTAAATAGTGGTTGAACCATTCATACTCTGTACTGTGAGAGCGAAGCTGACTTTTTAAAGTAATATTTATTATAATATTTTTATCTGACCTTAAGAAAATTCCCATGCATTGCAGGGCAAGACTTGGGGTTAAATTGTCACCTCTGTTGTAGTGGATTCAATTCATATTGAACCTTGATCTAGGGTAGATCAATCATCCGAAAAAATTACCCAAAAGAGAAGAAAGGAATTTAAACAAAAGAAAAAAAAATTGACCAGATACTGTCAGATTTGCACTAGAGTGAAGGGGGGGGGTTTATAGTCCTTACATATTAAAGGCTGGCTGGGGGCCAGAAAGATGTTATGTTGACCAAAATACCATGTAACCCCCATAAGAGAGGGTCACCTCGCTGCCTTGATGTTTACATCAACTGCCATAATTATGTAAAAACGCTGACGGACAAGCATTCCTTGGCTGGCTTCAGGACTGTCAGTGTTCGTGGTGTTATTATTCCTGATGTATCCTCTGCAAGGAACCTGACCACATCCATCTTGTATCGGTATTTACGTTGTGATGACAAAGAAGATGTTTGAAAAAAGGGGGAAAGAAATATTGCTAGGAAACGTGATAAGATTTGCAGAATGTCCAGTCTAGCATGTTAGTCTTGCATATATAACTTGTCATCTGACACCTCAACAAGTTTGGCTTTGAGAAGTTGTGGCAGAGATGGAACAGCGTTGTAATCAGGACTGTGCTGTTAACAGAAATAGTAGCACATGAAATAGCCAAAAAATGAGAGTGAATTCAAATTTCTTATTCTTGATATTCACACTTATTCCATTTGTTAACCATTGAAAGGTAAAAAATAAGATGAATACGACTTATATAACTTTTACAGGTCTTGTACCGTATATATTTATGCTCAGTTTATCACCTTGAATAAAAATTGTTCAGTTATTTCATTTCCTGTTAATCTGTTCTCATTATTAAGGAATGCGACCCTGGCTCTCTGACCACTTCAGTCCAGCTGAAATACCACAACTTTTTTCCTGGCAAATTAAGAATGACAACACTAACTTTGAAAAAAACAAGTTTGCTTCTCTCTCAAACCATGGAGCTATTAAACACCAAGGGTTCAGACAAGCCTGCTTTCCATTTGAAGGAGGGTGTAAAGTTGGAGCCAACATGGAGACAGGGAGTAGACAACCACTTTCTCCAGTGTGGTATCTTAATTGCTGACCAGTGTGTAATTTAGATCCTGGACCAATTAAGAGCTTTCTGGGTTATAGGTGCCTATCTGGTTACTGGCATGCCTATAAAAAACCTGCAGTTGCCACTGGAGCCAGAACTGTAGCATCCAGTCTGGGTTGGATTCCATGGGGGAGCAGTGTCTGCCTGACAGCGGGACTGCCAGACCCTCAGTCCAGACTGGTCAAGTCATATGGCTAATTAGTGACCAAATACTGCTGACCAATGCTGGGGGAGTCGGCTACAAACTATCCTTCCTGGTCCTGGGCTTCATGATAGTCCAGGTGGTATTTGGAAGGGTTGCAGGGATGGATGGTTCATTGGCCTTGCTGTTGGGCATGCACATTTTCATACCTTCATATCTGTTATGTTAAGCTGTGTTTGCACTGGACTTTTTGGTCCAGCTTACTGAGAGGATGGTTACTTTTCCAATTTTAAGTCCAGTTTGGCATCCCAGGAAGTTTTCCTCTCAACTTCTGCCCAAGAAAAATTCCTGAGGCTTTTCCCAAGAAGGAAAGTCCAATGTGGACAGTGCGAGTAGGTAATTAGAGGATGGGAAAGTGGTCCAGTAGAGCATACATCCGGCCCGAGCACAACTTGAAGTTAAACAGCATGCTTCATACAGGGAAACTACGCATGTGCAGTTCGCATCAGTGTGGCATGTGGCGAATATTTCAAGCAAATTTGTTTCCTCTTTTGGTCACAATCATGGCAGAAATTATTGATACTGTTAGAAGTTTAACTGATGTTAAAAGTGCACCCCTAGCACTTCCAGATGATAGTGAGGATGGCAATGTTGTAAGACAAAAGCAGAAAGGTCACGCAAAGCACCCTCATAAGTTATTGCATTGCCAGCTCGGTAACTTCACCCGTGGTCTCAGTAAAATTTTCCTGTGTCGTAAGTCCAAATGTGGATAGTGGTCACATTGACCATTTTTTATTTGACCATCGGCTTGGTAAAACCCATGGGAAAAAAGGTCCAGTGCAAACATGGCTTTTGAGAACAACTTGAACCCCACCTCTTTGGCCTTACTGCTACAGTGTAGCTGTACATGTACATGCCGGCAGTCTCTGCACATTGCATACAGTTCCAGAGATAAACCTCGCTTTTTACACCCCTCAGCCGGCCCCAACACCTCTTTCTTCAGACAGTGGTCATTATCAATTAAATCAGCCATTTCTTTACTTCTGAAGGTGGTGGAGATGGGAACAGACAGGCTTCGCACAGAAAGGCCCAATGCATCTGCACAGGAGCCATCCCTAATTACAAGTTGTCTGGTATTAAATTCAGGCTCCACACCCTGTACGTACCCTAACTCTATGGGTGCAATCCATTACTTCAAGCCCCATTGAAAACAGTGTAAAAACAGCATTGTTCAGGGCCCAATAACATGCATACCAACACCCCTGAGGTTTCTGAAACAAAACTTGTATCAATGTCTTATCCCTGATCTTTCAATTTTTGTGGGTTAGCCAATTACATTTTTACTTTTCCCAACAAAACAACCCCCTCGAAAAGTTTTTTCCCTGAAGTCTGCTTGCAGCCATTTTTCAAGTGGCAACCTTCCACTTTCTCAGGCACTTAGGACCATTTTTAAACTGTATTTTTTAGCCATTCCACTCTCAGATGGAAGGCCAAAGAACCAGGGAGTTGATCCTGGCAAAGATTTACAAATTCTCACCATTTGGGGGGACAGACAATTTCCCTTTTCAAAAGAAACTGTGGGGGTATGTTTGATGCTAACGAGCTAACAAAAAATTCCCACTTGAATTAGTGGACAGCACCACTATGGTTGCAATCCTCCATAAAATGACTGACCGCATCAGGGTTTCACAGTCATGGACCTAATGGGTGCCATGCTGAATTGTAGAGGGCGCTGTGTGGCCTACTCATACCAGCCAAGGGCCAGTTTACATGGCTTTTGTCCGAACCATAGATGGTTTGGACCATCTAGACAACATTTGGAACCAGGCCCTAGCCCTGGGTCATGGTTGCACCACAGGGTATCAGTAGGCAATTTAATTGATCAATTCAGAGGGAAGCATTCAGATGAAAATAATTGTCCAAGATGCCATTGACCATGTACACTGTGAGAGTTGCAGCCAACAACAAAATACAAGTGATTATGACATTTTACAAAACAGCTCGACAAGGGAAGTTTGGGCATTGCACATACACAAGTAGTTGACGGCTGGTTGAACTATCCCGAAATTGTCCCTAGTGAGGGCACATTGAGTGGGTGCACCAGTTTAGGGGTGAAACCCCTGTATGAATGGCCCTCACTGCACATAAAAACACATGTAAGTGTATTTTCAACTATACATGTACATGTATGTGAAACCGATCTGAGTGCGGAGGCTAGAGTTTGTACATGTGTTCTCACACTGGACACACCCACACATAATGGCATGGACGAGTTTCACAGTTTTACTTACAGCTGTCAATAATCATAGCAGCCAGCCTCTGGGCATGCTTTGGGATACCCAATTAAGACAAACTTTGCTTTTTTGAGTCCAAAGAGCACTTGGTTAACAATCAATAGGGCATACAGTGCTTATTGATATACGTTGGGTAAGGGCAAACCTATTATATATAATTAACATCTCCCCAACGCAAAAATACATCTTGAAAATCAATAGGGAGTCCCATTTTCTTTAGTATTTCACGAGTCAATGCATGTGACAGCACTTTTATGCCTCTGAATAAAGGGACGACAACAACGAATTGGAACCACAAAAGAATAAAACACTTTTTTGAGTGACTTTTCTGGACACTTTTTGACTTTTTATTATTATCCCTAGCCCCACCACTAATAAGTTTGTGATTCTCAAGGTTGTTGACACAGGTACAGTCCCTGTGTGGTATCAGTCTGCTTGGTGAATGGTGTTGCACCATTGGTGTGTACACTATCACATAAATGCCAGTTTACAGAATAAAACAAAATACCACTAGTGGTCCCTACCTGTGGATGGGCAGAGCATGAATAGGAAGAAAAGAATTTTTGGTTTGAGATGTGGGAGGCAAAACCCAAGAGGTTTTTAGCTGGAAGCACAGACAGCCAAGGTGTCAAGAAATGTCCGGTGTGTGGGAGTATTATGGAGTGTGTGAAACCCACACTGGGGCCTGGGCCCACACAGCATGCAGAGAGGTGAAAGGGGAGGGCCACTGTGATGAACCAAAGAGCAAGGACCAAGGTGAAGTTAGACCCCTGTCATAGGGGACACTCTCTTTCACTCAGGCCTCCTTTGTGTATAACTAGCAGTCCCTCTCTCAAGTTCAGAAAGGGCCAGCTAGACTTGAGTTATGCACTGTACAGTGTACAGCAGGTAAATGAGAGTAAGGAAAAGTAACCATGGTCTTGCCTTCCATGAAATTTAGAGGGAATGCCAGAACCACAGAAGCAAAATGATGCCAAATACATGTATCCCAGGTCAAAATGTCATTTGTGTTTTAACTTGTACTTTCAGAGCGCACACTGAGGTTACTCGACTCCGTACAAGTATCTCATAGGCTACATGTAGATGCTGACAAACGCTTCGAGCACCATGTGCAAAGCACCCAAGTACCTGAGACACTATAGGTGAAAGCACCATAGTAAGTACATTTACAGTGTACATGTGAGCCAACTTGGGCTGAATGTGCTTATCGACGTACCAGTGTGCACAGTTTGAGTGTCCCACATGGTGGTACTTTACAAGAAAATGTACATGTACATGCATTCGAATTTGCTTTCACTTCGTTGTTCCTGCAACGGCATTTATACAGCATCCTCGGGAAGTTAAGAAAAACCTGTGACTACATGCAGTGGTCCTCGGCTTACCACAGTACTGGTATTGGATACAATACTGGTGATGAATGTTAATGTTGGGGGGCAAAAATGACTCAGTATCATTCATGGTCCCATTGACTGATGCTTTGTTTGTTTTACGGCAGCTTTCCATAATGTCTGACATTTCTTTGGTGGTATAAACAGTGGTTTGTATGGAGGGAAGTGGTGTGTCACAATTATCTACCCACACAGTGGATCTGAAAGTGACATGTGTACACGTACTATTGAAATATCAAATGTTTAAACAGATTTAAGATATGTACAGGTTTCTGTTCATTCAAGTATAAACTCCGTTGATTAAATTGACCTGCCTTGACGCCTTTCAGAAAAATCAGTTACACATATTTTTTGTCAGCATTCCGACTTCTGGTTCTGTTAAACCAATTAGCAACAGCACCAAAAACACACAAGCACAGCCTGTGCAAACCAAGATGTACACGTAGCACAAGAACACTAGTTGTTTTTCTGTCTCTGGAATTCATCAGACAGGAAACATTTTTAATCTAGCACAGGGCTTTACTCCTCCAGGGAGTTTGAACATAAGACAGATCCCTTGTTCACCCTACGATTAGACCTTTCCTTACCACTCCCCCTCCCCCAAACAGGCAACACACCTGTGAAAATCATTTTTGTCAAAATATTTTGTTTGTGGTACCTTTTGCCCTAGTGCATCATAAAGGGGATGTTGTAAAAGCTGCCATGCAAACTCGATCAATTTTTTTGCAGGCTTTCCCTCCTCCTGCCACAAAAACAGCCTTGTAGTGTTTGGAGTGGGAAAAACATCCAAAATGGATTCACAATTTGCCCTTAGCATTTGGGTTTTCCATATGTAAGGGGAAGGCGGAAGGACTTCTGTAATAAGCTGGGCCATCAGTGTCACACGCAGGGGGGACACCACCAATAGGATTGGGGTTGTTACTAGACATAATCCATTTCCCAGGACTGAACTGTGACACCATATTTCAGAGTTTCTCTGTTCCTGAGTAGGGTTGTGTTGGAGAGCTCTGTGATTCATATCAAGAACAGTGGTGCTTAAAAATACCTTAAAATCTTGCCGTTCATAAGCAATGCAAATGCACAAGTAATAAAAAAACCACTCAGGACTCAGAGAAGGACTAAACATGGGAGTTTAAAAAATGTGGTACTATCATTGACTGATTTACAAACATGATTGACACAAAAACAGTACATAGATGCAGAAGTCTGAATTAACATTTGGCATAGATATATATGTATATTTTTATTAAGTTCATTTTCTGCCATCAAAGCTTTATCTTTGCTCCAGGATGCTTCTCTGCTTTGTTGGGAGTAAATAATGTTATTAACATGTCACAAAAAACAGTTATCATAACAAACTTAAGTGCCTTAGATACACATTTACTTTAAAAAGCCCCAAAACTATCTACCCCAGCAGTTTGATGTAAAAATTAAAGAGCCTGCTTTTTTTTTCCTTTTTCAAGTTAGCGCTCATCCAGTTTAGTTTATACATCTTTTTCCTCTGGCCTCTCCCCTTCCTGAAAGAGTATCAAAGAGAATGAAAGTGATGATGGCCAATTGTCACTTTTACAGTTTATGAAAAGCATTCACAAGCTGTTAAATTCTACCTCTGGTATTTTTTTTTAACACTGAAGAAAACGAACTAAAAATATCATCCTAAATTCAGCACCTCTGAGTAAACCTCAAGAATAAGAGAATTTTCTTGATATCTGTGTTAAACTATTAAAGTGGGATTGACCATAATCATCACATAGGCCTTACATGTACACTGATCTTGAGTCAAAGATCAGTTAAAATATTAAATATCAGACATCAGCTTTCATGCATGTAAGCAGTGTTATACTTTTACTAACAGTGACCACATTCCCTTTGCTGTAAGCAAATGGAATGATAAAACACTACAGAATAACTTAAGTATTGTGGTAAATTTAAACTTTACATCCCTTATATTGTACTTTAGTGATTTCCCTCTCAAAACCAAAGTCCCATTTATTTAGTTTTTCGTTATATAATTCCCATTCATTCAGCAATGCATCATCTGTGAACGCAAATGTTCAGTTTGCAAAGCATTACAGACTTTTGTGTCTAGAAATCTCATTCTTTACTTTTCAAATTGTGACTGGCAAAAACATTGGTGAGTCTGATTATGCCCTAAAAAGACTAAAAATTTATCTTATGCAGCTAGCGCACTCTCCCAGTTTCAATACCAGAATCTCCCCCCCTCAAAATTTTAATAATCCTTATTCTGGAGTCATTTGTTCACGGCTCTCCAACATTCTCTGCAAATAATTTGCAGCCCTCTGGGGGCCACTGGGCACTTCAAATAATAGCAGCCACAACAAGAAACCTCAGGTCAAGTTCAGTTGAGATTGGTTAACTCAGAGAGAGAGAGAGATAGAGAAAATATTCCAGACAAATAAATACATCCTGGAGACAGGTATGTCCGACAGTGTTTTGAATTCAAATACAAGCCTCACACTGAAAGTATTTCCAGTGCCCCAGAGTAGCAGGTGCCCATGTATCATTACCAGAAAGTTGTGTACATTGGGAGAGGCTATTCTATGCTTTCATGAACTGGACAATACCGACTCGAGGATATTGTCTTCAATATAAAGTCAATATTGCAGTCAGTGTTGGTTACACAGATAAAATAACATTTAGTGCATTGTCACCGACTTTTTTGGTAACAAGCATAATATTCAACTGCTCCTTTTCCATGATACAAGATTGTGGATGACTTCATAACTCAGTACTCATTTCCTTATCCCCTACTATGAGTACATTTATGTTTAAATTTAAACACCATTTAAATGTATTTTCCTTGTAAAAAAAATAATTCTGATGGATACAAACTAAATTGCTCTTCTTCTTTGTCATGCTAATGAGTTGTAAAAGAGAAAGTCAGAATCTGAAAAAAAATCACTTTTTAAAAACTGTGAGGATTTCTTTCCAGAACTGTACATGTAATTGCCCTTTTTGTGCCACATTAGAACATAAAAAGCATTACATATAAGCATGACATTGATATTGTAAACAATAAACCAGAGAGTAAAATGCTTTTGCTTCCTCTGTTATACAACAATATCACAAAAGTCCACTCTGGCCGTGAGGGATGCTCAAAGAAGTTATAACATATCAGCTGGCTAACAGAGTGCTATCAAAAAAACAAATTTGTACAAGATAACGCAGAATGGAATCCTATTGTGTGATGTGTAGTTATCACTTCACACCTCTTTGTGTGCACCTGGTCTTTAAATAAGTATCACAAATATAGGAACAAGAAGAAAAATACACCACAACAAATCTGACTTGAGTAACTGAAACATTTCCATAATTTAAATGATGTTAAACATGTCATGCAATCCCATGCAGACTTTTGCAGGTATACATACATAAGCGTGGTCTCCTCACATGTTTTGCCAGTACACATATTGTATGCGCTTCCCACCTTGTAGCTGACGTTTAATTTTCATGTACATGTAGATGCCACGGCCAAATACAAGTACACCTGTGAAGAAAAGAATGTAATAGGGTTTCTTGCAATAAGACATTTCATTACTGCATGCGTAATCGATATTTGGACATTATACAAATAATGAATGTTTATGAGTGCGATGGTCAGAATAATTACACAAGATGACAGATGAAACGGTCTATTCCACTTGGCTTCACCTCGTGAAATAGATCGTCGAAGGCAAGTGGAATAGACCATTTCAACTGTCACTGAATGCAATTATTCTTACCATCGCACAGCATAAAACATGTATTATTTGTTTTATACAACACCTGTATAAATCCTCGTCATCTGATTGGTTTACTTGTAGAATATTTTATTTGTCTCTTAGTGCTGGCAGCATCAGCTGCATTGACAAACTTGTCAATTTCTGTGTCAGTTAAAATTGCGAACGTCGGATCTAATAAGTCCACCAAGTTGCTGTAAATATTTTGTGCCACGGCACCACTATGCAGAAGCTGCAGTGCAATCGATCCGGAGGTGTTCGTTATCCATTTCTAACGCACAGTTGTTATAAATGTTTTGCACTCTGCATGTGCATCATGCGCACGTCATCCGCCAGCTTTGTGTTGGTACAAATAATTCAATGCCATGTGATCAAGGATCCACCAATCAGAGAACAGGGATTTATGAAGGTGTTGTATGATAGCTGAATAGCTGATTGCTGTCTCCGTGTAAATGGACAGCAATCACTGGCACCCTAAAACCCATCTTTCTTTATGTTTTTAATGAATCTAAACAAAGCAGTGGTCAGAAATTAAATGACCACCACTATGTGCCATTGTAAGGAATCCTAAATGACTAATAAAGTGTGAACGGAGTAGAAAACATTTGATCTAAATAGAACTTCTATCAACTCCCCCACTACTCATAATCCACCAGGGAACTGCTTATACGACAACACTCATACAAATGCAACACTTACACTTGCTCTCCTAATACACTGTTGTGGGGAAATGTGTTGCTTAACGTTTCATTGCTTAAAACTAACTTTGGGCAATTCCCACCACATCGAGACCAACTTGGTATCAGTCAAGAAAAACATCTCATCCCGGAACTATTCCATAAATACCTGGCTTATCCCCCTCTAAAATCTCTCCCATTAAAATGCCCCAAAGCATGTCAGGGTCTTAAAAGATGGTCAAGGGTCTCCTACTGGTGCTTCTACCTATTTTGCTTCTCCTCCCCCATCTCCCCCACGCTAGGGCTTCTTATTGATGTGGCCATTATCATTCGGCACCTGTCCTCATCAACTCTGGGATGACAACACCTGCCCTGAAGTTTAGGGGCATTGGGACAGGTGCAGGCTCAGGAGGCTTCCGGAATGCTTGGCTTGCCAGCCAATCCTGGCTCTATTGTGGCTGGCCTAGTTCAGGCTGTTTACTGTGATCTGATCATAAACCACAGTTTTCATAAGGTTTGCCGTATTGCGTGCAGTTGGATACTGCATCCACATTCAGTTTATATAATGAAACAGCATCTTTGATCCTTCCTGCAATGCTGTTGAGCCTGCCATCAGCACATGCCAAATGAAATTACATGTAGTGAACCAAAACTGCATGTACAACATTCAACCTCGAGTTTGTTTCTTTTTTGTGCACATGTGCACGAAACCTTTCAAGCAATGTTCCAAAAACACCAGTTCTTGGAAACTAGAAGGGCTTCAGAGGCTAGAATATGCAGAAACTTGGCACAGTGTAGTCTCATAATTAACTTTTTGGGGGAAGGAGATCCAATCCTAGGAACTGTCAGTTGCAAGACCTACATAGGCCTACACTGTACATGGATCAAAGTTGAAGAAATACAGTATGTGAAATTACAAGTGGTAGATATTTATGCCTGTTACTGACTCAACCCCAAAAATAAATCAAAATTTATAGTACATATACATGTATTTTTTGGGTGGGCTACAAGAGATATACGTGTATTCAAGTAAAAAAAAGGGAGATAAATAATTTTACAACCAATAACCTATTATTATGTTTACGAACCCACAACCCCAATGGATACTTCAGTCCTCAGTTTCATTGTAGGTCTAATGATGTGTGGTATGTAACTTAGAGTCATGTCATGTGTGGCCATCATCCCACTTTTTTATTACTTCGCAAAATTCTCTTGAAACAGGTTAATGTTATACGCACCATATTCTGCAGATGAAAAGGTACATTAACTTTAGAAATCTTCTGACCAGTCACACTTGGAGAAATACGTCAGCACATTCGGCTGTTTCAGTAGTCTTTATAACAAAAATAACTGCATGCCTCTCAGGGTGCAGAAATATTCCACCTTTATAAAGAACTGGCAATGTTTATCACCTCCTTCAATGGCACTCCACTTTTGCATAGCTCCTAAGCCATTATACGCTATGGATAGATCCTAATGTAAACTAATACTTGAAAGAAAAAAGACAACACAAGCATGGAAGCAAGAAATCAAAATAAAAAGTACACAGTAACTAATTTATAATAATTCTCAGCAAGGGCTCAGAAACGCTGGCTAAAATAAATTAACCTGAATTACAAGATAACAAGGGTGCAATCTCGCTCCGCAGAGTAAACACTCCCACTGGTTTCTTCCCATCACATGCTACTCTTTCTTTTTACTTTGTAAAGGAATGATTAATGCGTGGGACAGTCCTAGAATGTTTTGACAAGAGATAAGCGGATTGGCTGACCCAGTGTCTCATCATTATTTGCGATCAATTAGACATTGGCCATCAGATATTTTGAAGATGTGGTGTGTGTGGATCTATCACCAGCCTTTAAAGAGTACCCATAATTTCAAAACATCAGCTTAACATGCATCATTTTTCAACTGATGGAGGAATGGTGTTAAAAAAGGCAAAGGTGAACAATCCATCAAAATTAAAGGTTTACAAAGCAAGCTACCAGTAGGTAACACACCAGCCAGACATATTCACTTGCTTTTTCACCTGCATGTATTAGTCAAACTGTTTCTTTCAAGCTGAGATACATGTCTTTAAGACAACCTCCATCACCATGAAACAAAATAGAATGCTTGATTAATACAACTCCTGTGATATTCCTGTGATTACAGTTTGCATATGCAATTCCTCAACCCATTTGTAGTACAGGAACTGTTTCTGCATCAGCCAAAGAAATTCAGGCAAAGCTATGTATGGTCCATTATTTGATTATAAAATATTTTCCCTTTGTAACTATTGCAAAACGTAAACCTGTGACACAGTGGCTCACAGCCTAAACATATCAACCCCACCCCCAAAATCCCACTTTCAACAGTTTCCACTTGTAAATGAATGCTTGGGTTTCCCTTTAAAAAGAGCTACAACATCTGAGCCTGTGGACACAGTTGTGTACAAAGACCACCAAAAATGTCCTGTTGGATTATACAGGAACAAATCAACATCATTTATCATTCTTATCACCACTTCTCTTTTATTTTTTATACAAATTTATCCTTTTGGGCTGGGCTATTATCTCAAGTGGCTGGCCCCTTGGATCTTGCCTGGATGTGATTCAACCTTGCCAATCTGACATTACAGCACCACTCTCTAGAGTTCTGTTTATCACAAAGACAACTATCAGCAACTACAGCCCTAAGAGTTTTGGGGTGGAACATTAACTCCTGCCACTTACCATTCCTACAAGGGGTTGATGAAGCTTGATAAAATTCTTTTCATACATTGCCATCCCTTTACATGTACATTCTCATTCCAAACTATCAGCCAGATAACATGAATACACAATGAACATTTTGCTGTAATTGTTCAAACTATAGCCTTGGACACGAAAATCTCCTCTTGCAGACTATCTGTTACATTTATGTATCTGTTCTGTCAGTTTATAATGTGTTTGGATTTTCAGAAGGCATGTTGACGACTTTTATTATTACCCATTCATGTAGACTCCTGCAACAGCTACAAGCACCTCACACAAATTGTAATGCCCACTGCGTACATGTATGTGGAGTGTACAATGTACTGCTTATATACAGCACTGCACTATGAGGAAATTTATTGAGGAAAAAAAGAGGGCAATTTTGTTTGTTGCACTCGTTGACATTTACTAGTAATATTTAAATGAACCGTATTTTCCAATTATCATCGGAACGATCCCTTGAAAAAGTACAGAATTTGGTTTCTACAAAAATATCAGCTTTCTGGGAGAAAAATTTCAAAGACTGGCTGCCACCGTAATTTACTTACTTTCAAGTAAGACATTAAAAGATTATTCAGCAGTTTCACTTTTGAGATTTTTCCAATGATGTATGCTACATTAAATGGTTCATTGTACTGAAATCCCTCCAAAAATAAATCACAGCTATTATGTTGGTAGACATGAAACACAGAGGGCAGCATTCTTCTTTCACAGTATCCATGTGTATACAAAATTTAACCTCTATGAACTACTGAGGGCAGCAAATAAAGTTAACAGTAGCAGCCAGCTTCATGATGCATTTGACGATTACTGTCTACAGATAATGCATTATGCTGCTTAATTGTTCAAACTTACCACTGAGAGTGAGGGCAATCAGCAGGCATGTTGCTTCCTTCAAATACATGCTGCAGCAATCTGAATACTGTAACAGGGCAGAAGAGTAATAGTTGCATGCTGTGAGCTCAAATGTTTCGATCATCAGAGATCGCAACAGCAGTTTTCGTCAGTCTCCATTCATCAGTAAAAGGATTCACTCAGAAATCTACATGAACTTTATGATGGCCTTCTCATGAGCACAAATGTTTGCAATACCAATGTTCACTTATCCTTTTCCCTTTCTTTCTCTGGATTATGCCCATCTCTGTTAAGGATCGGTATGGGCAAATGCTGGCACACAGTAACATGACAAACACAAAGTCCTTCAGCAAAGGTGGAAGTACATGTATCAGCAATGTTGAAGCACAGTGTACACAACTGCAGGATGCTATTTGAAGTGGGTAAATTTGGAGCAAACACAGAAAATTTTACCCAAACCAAATAACACCCTCCTCTTGTGTCTGCCATACTTCAAATAAGCTAAAGCTGTGATCCCACTGGACGTTTTTTGGTCAACTTACCGCGACTTTCCTCAAGAATTCCCAAAATCCAGTGGGATTTTCCATTTTAGTAAGATAACACTCACCTTTGTTTACCTACATTTGCATATGAAGACTTCCCAAATCCAACGGGATTTTCCATTCTAGTACGAAAACACTCACCTCTGTTTACCTACATTTGCATATCAGCGCGCATGCATGTCAAACCTTGCTGAAAGGTCCATTTATTTTGTTGTTAGTAAATAAAAAAGGCAATCATTGCTCATCGCGTAGGTGCGCAAGCTAAGGCACCTTCCACGCGCTTGACGAAATAGCTCCTGGAGTGACCCTAACCGGGAATGCAACGCACATGAGCGTTAAGTTCTGTGAAAGTGAAACGCATGAACACGCCGGCTCGCAACGCACCCAAATTGTACATATGGAAAGGCGCCTCAAGGTAATGCGTGGAGCACACTGAATAGGTGCAGCCAAAAACACTCAAAGCATGGTCTGCACGTCAAGTCGTCAAACGCACACAGGAACCCAGCTGGAAGACCTTGCACCTGAGGGTCCGTCTCGAACCCAACAAAGTAGAAAAATGTAGTGCTGTGACTTAAATTTAAGTACAAGAGCCCTCGTTGTCTGAAGCCATCAAGGACAAATGTAAGGCAATGGAGACTAGTGACAACAGCTTCAGTGGAATTTAGAACTATTACAGCTGCAGTAAATGGAATAATTTTCAAAACCTGAAGTAGAGAAAATACTAGTCCTAGTCATAGTGTTCTTCCTACACAACAAATTTATCGGGACCCTAATTGACCGTGTCAAGTTCTGGTGCCAAGAACTAGGCATCAGGTGAGTACAGGTAAATAAATGTACTAAGTACATGTACATGTATATTCTTCTATTGGAATAATGCAAGAGGATCACAAGAAAGCAGTCAGTGGTTCATTGTACCAAGGGAATTCGAAAACATACCATGCAGTTTTTGAGCATGTAGTTATTGGCCCGATGAACGATAAGAGATTAAGACACTTTGATTACTGTGAAATAAACATTTCTGTAAAGGTAACGATGTTACCCTGGTGACCGTGTTCCGTTTGTCTGTTTGTTGTGAGCAGTATACAAAAATAAGTAGGGGTCCAGTGATATGGCGCAATACTGGTGGGATCATTTATCCTGATGTACATGTGCCAAAATCCCTACAATCACTTGACGATAAGATGGAACATGTAAACAAGGCATGACTGGAAATGGAAACCGACATGGTTGAAGCTTACCCTCATGTACTTCTGTCATGAGTGTAAATGATAGATTAGCCTGCTGAAGAATACGGAGGCTATCCTCATCAGTGTCCCATCAAGCAGTCTCATGATTTGGAGGGACAGTTAAATCATGGGCTTTTTCAAAGAGTGAAGGAATCTGCCAGATGAAACGGGGATAGTTCTTGGGAAACACTGTTGAAAAATCTGGATGCTCGTACCACGCTTGGAGGGCCGATCAGGCTGGAGGGACCGGAAGATTTGCCCAGAACGTGGCTTGAATTAACAGTTCTCCGTGGAATTCAGCAAGATTGCGTATGACCATGAAGCTCAATTGTACTCTGATTTCGCATGATGTAGACTGCATGCGTCGCTGAAAACAACTAGGACGAGTCTTAGTGCCACATGGCCTTTTATGGGGGGACATGTGCAGGGTGTAGCTTGGGCAACTTTTTGAGCAAGGTTTGACGCGCATGCGCGCTGATATGCAAATGTAGGTAAACAGAGATGAGATGTTTTCTGTAATGGTATTACAAAATTTGAGGTCCCTGTCAACTTACGGTGATCATGATATAAAAATAACAGGCAAAAAAGGGTTGTGGAAGAGTTCCGTGCAGCCACAGTAAGTTGTGCAGGGGCACAAAAAAGTCCAATGGGAACAGTTCCCATACAACGTAGATTGACCACGACCACACTAAACATACAAACCAGACTACTGCTTACGTAGAGATCGGTAGTGGGCATGCTAAAATGGTTGTATGGTTCCCAGTCTCCAGCTGCTTGCGTCAGTACAGCAGCATGCTGCGTACACACAGTGAAGCGTGCCCAGATAAAGCTATACACACATTGTGTACGGGGCTTTTCCTGAATGGGTTCATCTTTTTCATGGCAGATTTGTCAGATTTTATCTTTGCTTTTGTCAGATTCTGCTGATTTTGTCATGATTTGTACAGTGCAGGAAATGTGATTAGATGGTATTATTAGGCCTAACACAGCCAATAAACATTCTGTTACAGAAAAAAAAGTCCAAGTGGGAATGCGAGATACATTGACACGAAGGAATGTCGCAGTAAGTTTCCACGTGCCCACAGAAGAAAAAGTCCACTGGGAACAAGGCTTAATGAAAACAGCTATTATTCAGAGTTGTTGAGTACCCTGGCTGGAAAGTTACTGCCCCTGTAACTTGAAAATCATGTGTTGTGATTTGTATGTGCTACAATCCACATCAAACCTTCTCCAAATGAAGCTACATCTATCCTTGGTGATCTTACCATAGCTATCAATGTCCACTTGACCATGGATGCCCCAAATCCAGACAGTGCGCCATATCGCCCGGCAACGCTAGCACTCAGACAGTAGGCAAAGAGAAAACCAATCCAATTGAACAGAAAAGCAACTGGAAAAGAAATGAAAATAGATTCAACAACTGATTAGGCTCACAAATGTAAATTCTGATGAAAACCAGAAAATTCCAAACTGCACAAGGCTTAGTTTGTAATTTTAAATAGCATACGTACAAGCTGAAACAAACTACAAAAACAGGTTATCGAAACAGTTTGCAAGTTTAACAAATGCAAGCAGGTTCCAACCAAAGGAAGAGAGAGTTTTCAAACATCCCTTGTTGAAAAATATTGAAAGTTGATCGTTACAAAAATCGACTACCCCTGTACTCACTTTACGAAGGAAAAAAGAAGCCAATTTTCAAACTACTGATGTATTTAATTTTTCATTACCTGAACACATATACAGTGTTGATACTACATGCAGTAAGTTTATAAATGCTGCCCATTGCCGAGAATTTTTTAATCCTTGCAAATTTCACCTTTAAAACAGTTTGAGAAAAGGTCCGCCCCCAACAAAACTAAACTTTCCAGACAAATAATTATTTTCAGGTAGAAATAAGAATGTTCCTTAATGTACAATATGTCCAGCTCTCATCTCATTTTTATGTAGTTTATGCTGATAAGCATGGGCTCAAAACCAAATAATAAGTTCACCCAATTAGCATTCAAGCATTTTGACAAATATGTAAATACATTTTGTTCAGAATCATTTCCATGGTACAAAGGAGATGGGGCTGACTAATAGTATTGATTTCATCATTCAAACAGTTTTCTGCTGTACAGTGGGTAAGTTCTATTAAATTCCATGAGTTGACTCAGGTTAAACCTCATCCTCAGCATCTCTGGCCATCCCCAGCTCCAGCTCAGAGTAGCCTGTGTAAACTAATGAAATGCACCCTTTGTGACAAATGGATTTGAAACTAAAAATAATGTGGACTGTTTTCTCTCTAGTTACAAATCCTGATCACCAAAGTCCCACATACAATGATTGCAAAACATGGTATGGTTGTATATCAGCATGTTTGATCCAAACCAGCCAAATTGCAATACCAGATATCAGTGTTCTTCACGGCCAAAAATTTTGGCAGGGCGGTAGACAAAATTGCGAGCGCGAAGCCCTTATGGCATGGCGCCCGGGGCTTGCTTAAGGGCCCCGGAAAATTTTGGATTCTAGATGCACTGTGGTGCATTCTGGGGCAATTTCCAGTCCACTTTCATCTGTAATTTGGCCCCAAATCTGATTGCATTTACAATGTGAAATACTGGCTTGGATATTTTTCAGGAGGAATTTCTTCATCAAAAGATTTGATGACGAAATTATTTAAATTTCCGGAGCATTTTTAGCAGAACCTCATGTTAGTGACTTGAGACATGCTTGAGATGAGCAGAGCGCGCGGTTTTCTCAATGATCAGTTGACTGTGAAAAGGCACAGTAAAAACAAGCCTCAAAATGCACCCTTGAATAAAAAAGGACAAAAGAAATATGTTCAGGCAAAGATAAGTTTACAGTTTCCAGCTCACGTCCTAAAAATGAAGCAACCCCTTCATCGGAGCAGAACGCGCGTGGGGGCTGCTCCACTGGCACCCGGGCATACTCCGCAAAACAATGTTGCGCCACAGGTACCAGTCACATGCACTGTGTGTACATGTACACGCTTGCGCAATACAATGTACGAGGTTGACTATGCATAACAAAATCTAACATAATAAGCGTCGTCGGTAAACTCAAACTCAATCCACAAACTGTGGTAAACCTCTTTTTTATTAAAATCTTGAGAAAGTTGACATTCCGGGAAATATACACAACTAAAAAAATAGCAGGGCGGCACAAATTTTAGCAGGGCGGTCCGCCCTGCTAAAACAGCCTGTGGAAAACACTGAGATATTATACAATAAAATGAGGAAATATATTTAAAACTAGTGTAAATGTTTCCATTCCATGCACAGCATTAATGGGCACAGCTGATTTTGTACTGTTACTTCTTCTTCTGTTTTTTACTTCTGTTTACAAAAGAAGGGAATCCTGAAAAGGATATTGTGCTTTTTTGCATTGTAATAATCAAAAAATGCAGAAAAAGTGAGGAAGTACATTTAATGTTGAACTCAGAGTGATGGTAGGAAAACCTTGAATAAATATTCCAGCAACATTCACAGATCTGAGAAACAAATTACAGAAGTTGGCCTGGCCAGGGTTGGAACCAAAGCTAACAAGGTTGCAGGCAATAACAACTTCACCAACTTCTGCCCCTTTCAATTATTAGAGGCAAGGGTCATGTATACAAAGATATAAAATATATAGAGTGGTTAAACTTACTAAAAAATGCTACAATGAACATCAAATCACCACCCAGCATGGACCCAGAGTCTTCCTTCAGATCATCCTCCTGTGAAAAAAAGTCCCAAATCAAATTACAAATCCTGTAAAATCAAATTGGCAGTTTGTTACTGCATCTAAATAACCTTTCACGGGTGAATAATTGTACATTTTATGAAGCATGGCTTTTTCCTCTTATCAAGGTTTCTATAAATCCTTCCCATCCAAACATCATGTAAATGCATCAAGAGCTTCTTTTCAGTTTGATCAAACTTTGATGTGTATTTAAGAAAGTCACTGATAGCACTTAAAGTTTTGCATTACTGAACTGTTGTTAGCAAGTTATACTGTTCAGTTCTTTGTCAGACATGTTGTATGGGTAATTTACACAAATGTGCACTCCTCCATTCAGATAATAAACATGGAACCGATTTCTCTTACCCAAAGGACATGCAGCTGAAAAATGCAGAATATATATAAATCTGGCCAAGAAACGACAACACCCTCCTCAAGTGATAGAAAATATCTTTGGGTGTGTGGAAGAATGGAGAAATGACACATATATGAGAACTGATGCAATTCTTGGGATTCTTACACTGAGTAACCCAGCCTGCACAAGTTTCTCCTCCAGGGTGGGCTGAGTCCAACTTTGATCAGAGGGGGGCGTCTGTGGCTTTTTCATATCCTCAAGTTCCTCATAGGGTGGTGGGGCCTCATTAGGAGGTATGAGCATCTCTTCCTCATCTAAAACACCATTAGAAAATAGTACATATCAGGTTTTATCAAACCAGAAAAGAGTCTTTCTTCCATAAAAATGTCCATTCTCAGCAAACATCATGAAGAGTGATTATCACACAAGAAATAAACTTAACAGCAGTTGACAATCATCCCCAACTTAAATTTTTGCTGTGTAAATGAAAGAGAATGAGAGTGATAAGTTTCAGGGGTTTGTAAATCTTCACAGGTGAGTGAATGGACATTCAGGAAGATCTATCACAACCATTCAAAAGGGTTATTCAAAAACATATCTTCACACAATTGCACACAGTGAATCACCAAAAAATCCTCACATTGTGGCAGTCAAAATAGTAACATGCATGACGGTATAGTCGCCAAGGTCCCTAATTTCATCATCTGTTGTTAAGTCTGGTTGGTTTTCACAGTAAGTGGCGACATTAGGGACTTGGTGACTATACTGTCACACATGTTACACCTAATTCACAAAAACTGATTTCAGCTGCAGGAGGAGCTGACAAGGAAAAGTATGCAATACATACCTTTGTGAGTTGGTGTGCCTGGCTGAGTGTCAGCAGGTGAGGGTGGCGGTACCACCAATGCGAGGGTCACATGCTGAATGCGATTCTCCCTGTCTTTACAAGCCTAATTAAATAATTGAAGCATACAAAAACATGATCTTACACTGTGTGTCTGGGAAATAGGATTGTAATAGGCCTCACTTTTTTCTTTTTAGTTAACCCCTGGGTTAAGGCTTCTAGATTTTACACATGGTCACTTCTATAACAAGTAGGCCTAGGCCTACTGGCCTAGCCTGAACAAACAATGACAACATGAACAACATCAAAGTAACAAAAAACACACACACAAGACACAAAAAACTCAAATATATTTAAATCAAATAAAAAAGAAGTCCTAGTATTGAACTGAGAATAGTTGGATTTCTCAAATCAATTTCCAGATCTCCATTTTGTAATACTGTCAGACATTAGGTTAACTTCCGGTTTCATCGAGTGATTAGTTCTTGTTTGTGCAGTGATACTGATCATTGATTTAGCTCGGTCACTTTCCCGATCTTTTTTAACTAGTAAAGTACATAGTATTCTATGACTCACCTCTTCGTAGGAAGGCACTGGATCCATTTCTTTGAATTACTACTGCAAAAAATGCATGTGTTACCGACAGAAATTATATGTGTTGAACTCTTTTGGGGAAAAAATCTAGACGAATAATGATACAAATAAATTCCTAACTTTACATAATGTTTATCATAGTGCTATAACCCTCCGTGGGTTCGTGTACAGTACATGTCCATATGTACAGTACAGTGTACATGTATATGTACAGTACATGAACAGTGTATCGGTGGCATATTTAGTCGCGGGTTCACGTACAAAGTACCAGTGACACGTATCCAATCTCTCGCAAATACTCGCGACTCGCGAGAGACAGAAACTTCTTTCAAATATGGCGGCGCGTGTTGACTGGCGTGACTGGACTGATTGTGAGTATTTTGTCAGCACACTTCGTCGGTGAATGTTCGCGTAAAATGTGGTTGGTTCAGAAAAATTTAAAGAAACGTAGCCTAGCTTGGGGTTCATTGCCATTAGCACCCTGTTCCTATAATAAGGAAACAAAGTCCACTTTCTCAAAGTGCGTGAAAAAAATAAACCTTTTTTGCGACGTTCGCAATGCAGCCATTATGGATATGGATGACGAACATGCAATGTATTTTATGGACAACCCTATGGGGGAAGTGAACCAGTCAAAAATCAATTAACAGTTTTCTACTAAATATTTTTTTTGTATCTGCTCATCAGCAAACAGATGCACGCGTATTAATATCAGATTATACAAGAAACATTTTCAACTACGTTTCCAAATGTTTGTAAGTAAGAACAAATCAACCTTAATTGCCCATTTCAAGCAAGGGCACCAGTCCCGCTACAGGCTAAAAATGAACGTGACTGGTCAAAGCTGGATGAATGAACTGCAAGTTGTAATTTTGATTAGACAACACTAGGACATTAATATTCTTGAAGTGGTCAAACTCAAACCACGGTCCGTGACAACAAGTGGTGTTGTTGGAAGAGATTCTTCAAATTTTCTTTCTCTATGCCAAGCTTTAAACTTCGAAGTTTGTGTTTATCTTCGTTCCAAATCAATAATCCAACACTTTGTCAGAAGGGGGTGGCTCGAATTGGAGTATGACATAAAATGGAAACAGATTAACGTTTTCAGGTACACTTCTCCCTTAGAGTTTTGCATAAAATGCATTGCATGTACATATACATGTATGTCATCCAAACCCACAATGCATTGCGAACATCCAAAAGGTTTATTCAAAATCAATCATGTCAATGGAGTGATATTGGTGAAAAGCTCTTGGACAGTTCTTTCCAATAATACCAAGATCATCTCCATGGGGTCAAAAACAAGAAAGTTATTGTAGTTTTTGTGACTTTTTTTTAGCATTTTGTTCTCGTGACTCAGTACTAAACCAATGGATTGATGGATCCAACTTTGTGACTGAAATTATGTAATAGTGTGGGTCGCCAAACATTTTGGAATGTTGGTCAAGTCGTCCCCAAGTCATGTCATCCCCAGGTCAAGTTGTACGCATGTCAAATCGTCCCCGGGTCAACTCGTCCCCTAGTCAAGTCGTCCCCCTTTTAAAGAATTACAGTAACAAAGGGGTATCAAAAGGGTGGCCTTACGCATTGAGTCTTTCCACTCGGACAAAGGCTGTAGCTGAATTTGGAGTGCTCATACATACCACTGATGCGGACCCCAATCATACCATAATTGATCGATAAGCAACAATTACAAGTACATGTAACTTCATTTAACAAAAGCTTTATTACAAAATACAACTTCAATACAATCATTACAAAAATTCCTTCACTATACACTCTTAAAACAACCCAGTCAAATGTTAACTGATTGCCTAGTAATTCAAAATAACTAATATTCATTTCCGCATTACTGATTTCAAAAAGTTATTCAAATAAACCAGAAATGACTAACGGAAGATTTGAAATTTAAAGATGTTCAAATTGCTTTGACAATTAAAAGAATAGGCCTATGTGCTGTCACATTGGCACACAACAGGAATTGCCTTTTTAAATATACGTGGCACGTCTTGGTTACTGTAGATATCAAAAGCCGCCGGCTCGAGCTGCGTAGAACGAATGAAAAATGTGAGTAAATGTACGAGTCTCTGTCTTGGTTTTCTTTCTCTTCTACGTGGTTGATGCACCTACAAAGAAAATTACATGCACAAGCAACATTTGTAAGAACTAGTGGGGGACGACTTGACTTGGGGACAACTTGACAAAGGTTTCAATTTGGGGGACGACTTGACCCGCAGACAATTTGACCTGTTCCCAACATTTTATAGTTTTCTTATTTGTTGATCAAATTTTATGAATTAGGCATCATTGGCAAGCTCAGAAAATGCTTAGTAAGACGACAACAGTAAAAGCTTTGAGATTTACGTGTTAGTTACATGGTGAAGATTTGAATTTTGGCAAAAAAAGGGGAAAATATGGCAGTGACAGAACATTGTGTAGGATTGACCAACATGACCAATTCCGATAAAGGAGAATGTGATTTCTCTGATACTTGATCTGAAGTATCCATTTCACAAGAAACTACAGGTGTCGTTTTAAATGTTCTGCTACAAAAGTCAATGAATTTACTCCACTCAGTTTCATGTGCCGGCCTTGTGAATGATTCAAATTTCATGCCTTTTGTTTTCACATGATTTGAATCGGTGGTGCAATTAACCGGAAAAAAAGAAGAAATTGCATGGACTGTCTTTGCATATGACTTTCCATTTTTACAGAAGATGTGCAAAATGTGTCCATTTTTCAGGATTCCATCATCTGGAACTGCACTATAAATGTTAATGAGGTGTTGAAGAGTGAGTCCATTCTTTGCTGCGGGAGGAGCTTTTCTCTTGTTTTTCCTCATGCTGATTAAAAGTCAGAGTAAAGAAAAAGCTTTAAAAATAAAAATCATTTACAGTGTATTTCAAAGAAGTTCTTGGATCTAAATCATTCAATTGTGCAAATACTGCAATTCAAATGTTGACCCTATTAGTATTGATTGTTCTCTCAAGTGAGGAGCATCAACCATGCAATCTAACTTTACTAATAGTAATTCCTTGACCCCCCCGAAAAAAATGAAAAAGAAATTCAAAATTATTCTCCATATCAAATACACATTAAAAAGTTAAGGCATAGATACAGAAATAAATGAATAAAATGACTAAAAAATAAAAACTACATTTCTCTTGATAAAAAAAAATCCCCATTTAATACGATCAGTTGGGGCTTAACTATCCATTCACAATAAATTGCTAAGTGAAATAAACCCTTCTGCCAATCACAAATGAGCATTACGTGACTAGTGCAACAAAGTTGCAGGCTGCCGTATTTTATCGATGGTTCAACTATTTTGCAATCCAATGTCATCGAAAGTACAAGTGTCCATCAACTTCTAGGTTGTAGGTCAACTCGACCGTTTGCCAACTTGACTCAAGTCAACTTGACTCCTAACCAACTGGACCGTCGACCAACTCGACCGTTGATACAACTCAATGAACCCACAAAATGAACTGAAATGCAATCAATAATTGAACTTCTGCCAATGAGATACTCCAAAATTGTTGTCCCAATTTGAGAAGCACGCACACACATACCCCCGAAATCTGTCACCACACTGTGCCCATGCACAGATCACATCACACACAGTAAAACGAATTACACGCGTGATCCAGAACTAGGAAAAATGCGTTCCTTCTTTGCCTTGTCCCTGTTGCACCGTTTGCACGGTCGAGTTAGTAGAGTTGGTGGAGAGTCGAGTTGACCTTTACAGTTGAAGGAACAACGGTCAAGTTGGTCGACGGTCGAGAGTCGAGTTGGCAAACGGTCGAGTTGACCTGACACCAACTTGAAAGATCACATTATCTGATATCTAGACATATTACTAAGTCTGTAAAATCCACTTTGAAATAATAAAACTAACATTAAAATGCCTCATTGTATCAACTTGATTTTTCGATTCGCACACGCATAATGTACATTGAAATCACATAGACAGCACACGCGGGTATGCTACCTGCAATACTGCGGGGCTAAAAAACACTGTGCGGATCGATAGACTTTAATAAAATTTCACATGTCTACTGCCAAATAATCAAATATGAATAATATCACAGTCTAAAAAGATAATACACTCACCTTCTACAAAAATAACAGTGATTTCAAAAACCCAATTTTAGTGGAAATGGAGGGCAAAGTACGACCACTTCCGAAGGTTCTCGGAACGTTTGAACTGTTTTTCAACAAAGGCTGGCATGTCAGTCACGTGATCATTACATTTGCATGTTTCTTAAAATAAACTTTATGTCACATTAGAAGGGATTTCCTAGGGGTTCCCCGGGCGGCCTGCACGCAAGCACAGAAGTGAAAACGAGGCTCTGCGTAATTTTTACAACGCCGATGCGCAGAGATTGCCATATACCTACTTTGACCTTAAGGGACCATTAGGCCCACTCAATCCTGATAGGCCTAGTTTAGGTAAATTTTTACAATATTTAAGCAAGAAAACTTCAAATTCCTAAACCCAAGTTTAGCAAAAGACAACCACTGAGTTGAATCACGCCATTTCCTTTTTCGTCTAGTTACCCGACTAAGGCTTTTTGGATTCATCGAAACAGATCTCCATCCAGGTCAAGGAACCAGACTACATTCGCTTATTTGTCGTTCACAGCTCTTCGCGGTACGCTGCCATTTTACCCAAAAATTTCCCTCAAACACCAAAAGTCCTGTTTTCTTTTCTTTCTGATATGGGAGAGGACATCACCAACAACTTGTTTAGATAAGTCATTTCAAAAAAGTAGAACTTGTTCCCTTATAATAGGAACGGTGCTAAAAGTAATGAACCCCCTAGCTTTAGTCAGCGAAGCTACATATCCTGCATTGTTCAGTTAAGTAATTTTTTTTCTTGTGCATATTTGAAGCTTATGAAGGCATGTCAGGTGCAATTGGTTATGTTTGAGAGCTGGATAGCATGGAGAGGGGGTGGGTCTGAGTTATGAGTGATAGTGGAGGGTAGTCCGAGTAACTTTAACATCTGGAAATTGTCAGGCGATAGTAGGGTTTTGCTTCCATTAATTAATTTCACTCAAAATAGCTCACAGTGAGTCGTTCCCAGATTCAAAATCCTCTGGATTCACCTCTAAAACTGTCCTTAAAATGTCTAATGCACCTGTCTATGGATTAAGTGAAAATCAGAGGTAATATGGTTCACTCACATAAGGGAAGAAAAGAGAAATTTCCCCATCAAAGCATACACGCTCTGTTGACGAGCTCGAAGATGCCATATTTCCTCAAAATTGAACTATATGGTGTTGTCCTGTTGAGGATGTCACTACGTGCTGGCCTAGCGGACCATTCACAGAAAGTATGCGCCAAGTTTGGTGGCTGGGATCATATCGAAACTGTACACTGAACATTATGCTGCTTAGTCGTCCACGCGCGTGTACTAACACAGCATGCTTTCTGTGAATGGTCCACAAGGCCGGCGTGCTGTGACGTCGTCAACAGGACATCGACATATAGTTTAAATCGCTATTTGAGGAAAGATGGCCTTTCAAGCTCGTGGACAAGAGTGGTTATGATTTGAAGGGGAAATTTTTCTTTTCTTCCCTTATGTGAGTAAACCATATTATCATTATTGCAATCTCCGATTTTCACTTAATCCATAGACGGGTGCATTAGATGTTTTAAGGGCAGTTTTGGAGGTGAATTCGGAGGGTTTTAACTCTAGGTATGAGCTATATTTGAGTGAAATGAATAATTGGAAACAAAAGCCTATGGAAGGTACATGTACTTAGACCTTACTATCGCCTGACAATGTCCAAACGTTAAAAAATGGTGATTTAATAATAATCCACCAGTACATGTATTTTTAAATTGAAAATAATCACTCTGTATTTGAAGCGAATCTGGACGAAATATAATGAATCACATGAGTTCTGTGCTCTCTGCAAAATAATTTTATCAGCAAATGAAAATTATCGACAAGAATTTGGGTTGAATAATGTCATGAGATGTTCCTTCAGCAATCATTTTTGATGATTGATTTATGCAAGCCAATGTACTTATGGTGTTTATATGTTCTACACATGTTTTGAATTTAATCAAATATTTGAAGTTTAGAAGAATTTTTCAAAGCCATATATTTATAGAAAGATAACAGTTAAAACAACTTCAGTAAATTTTCAGGTCTTAAATTAATTGGATCAGAAAAATGGTCAGCATGTGGCCAACAAAAGACAAAAAGTTGATTCACACTTGGCAGTGGCTATGACATCTGTGCTGTTCTTATTTTATTAATTATTATTGTTCTTTTGAATTTGCAGTGTTGCCGCAATGTTGTTCCATTCTATTCTAAGAACAGCTGCATCCAGGAGGTTATGTCCTATCTTCAAAAACCCAACTGAATGGTGTAATAATTATGCATCAAGCAGACATGTTTGTATGTCTGATGCTGCCTCATTGCTGAATATCGGCAAAGAAGACAGATTTAACTGTATCCATGTGAATGTGGGGGACGATCGTCATCTAAAGAGTTGTAAATCCGAAGGATCGGCTGCATTTACTCATTCTTTGTCGGGTGCGTATGATCTTTACCAACTTAACTGTGTGTGCATTTTTACCTTGAAATGGCTAAAGACTTTGTCCATAAGAATCCAGTTTGCCTGGTTTTAAACTGGTATTTAAACATAGTCTGTTTTTAAAAGCGATAGTTCAAAATTTGTCATCTTTTTGTTGATGTTCAGGCTGTACATGTGAATTTTTTGCCCTTTAAAGGTGGTGTACATCATTGGTTTTTTGTCGTAATTTCACAAGATTGGCTGATTACGGTGTGTAATTTTCACTGCAACTTACAGTCCACTCACTTGTTTTATGATTGAGTCAAGTTCTTTGTGCAAAATCGAGAAAACAGCGCGGCATTTTCAGTGCTTAAATTGAAGGTCTTGTAGTTTATCTTGCGTAAAATCTATGGATTATAGGGCATTCATAGTACAAGCGAACATTGTCCGCGGGGTCAGGGTGGGAAACAAGCATGACAGGTTCTCATTCCCTTAAAAAGGAGCAGTTTTTAATGGTAAGGAGTAATCAGTGAATATACCTTGGAGTAATGCGTCCCCTCGACAATGTGGCACTGCGGATTCATGGAAAAACTTCATCCAGGAACATAGCAGTCGACTTGTGTCCGTGACATCGAAACAGCCTATATGATAATGCACATGCACGTGCGATCGTGTTTATAACGGCACTTTCATGTCATTTCACAGATCGATGAAAGTCTAAAACCCCATTCATAGTTGAGTCATTAATAATTATAAGTAAAAAAGAATTACGTCTCAAAACAAGGGAGGATTAACGTGTGGAAATCATACTTTTTGTTGACGAAAATCATCGTGCTTGGAAACAGCCGCCATATTGGACCATACCATTATTATCCAGGGGTGATTTTGAATTCGCAAAGTTTTCAGTTAAAGAAAACCTTTCCTTCAATAAAATTCAACTTCACACGGATCCAGTTTATTTTCTACTTTATGCCTAACACTCAGATTTCTATAATTTCAGTTCACAGTGTTTTTTTTTGGTGAAAGAATGTCGGTATATTTTTAGCTGCTTTTAGGATTAACCGTTCATTTATGAAGACTCCCACAACATCTGCAAACACTACATATAAGAAATTTGGCGCCTGTTAAAGGATGTGTTTTGCGAAGTGAATTTAACTCTATTATGATGGTTGGCCACCCATCGTGATAAAAGAGAACAAAATTTTGTTTTTCTCAAAAACTACAGAATTCTAGGTGGAAATATTTCACAGACCGATTGAGACTGTGGTGTACTTTCTTTAAGATATTTCAGGATTATACGGTAGTCCGATTTTCGGGATTTTACCAATGGTGTACACCACCTTTAAAATTTGGTTTAATTTGATTTTGAAGTATTTCTGCTGCTTTTTGACATAATTTTGGTCACGTTAGTTTGAGTCAGTGACGTGCCATCATGTGAAGAACTATTTAATACAGCTGTTCTGCTTTTTCCAAGTGGGCTTTGTACATGCCTCTTTCAGGGCCCCCTACTCTGCCAGGCATCCACCATGGTGTCGCTCCACCATGTCCACAGTCAATGGAAGTACAACTTAAACTGGGTTGCATGCATGTGTCAAGAGAGTTTCCTCACTTGGCTTTTGTAATTAGGCCATTCAACATCTTCAGAAATTCCCACACTGAGCCTGCAACAACTCTTATGATTTTACCCCTACATGATTGGACAACTGTTTGTTATTCCATTCCATTGATTACCTGATCAGCCTTTTCTCTGTCAACCTCTGAATAGAATCATTATCACAGTGGCGGCTGGAGAGTCGCACGGCCGTTTGGTTAAAGTTCCCTAAGGAGCAGTGCCACCTGATTCCATTGGCTGCCAAGCAGGGCTTTGAGCTTCACCATGCCAAGGACGGGCATGTGGTGATGTCAAGGTGGTTACGTCAGGATGCCAGCCGTCTGCCTAGGTATGCCACACACCAAGTTGGGGTGGCAGGTGAGATTTCACTCGATTCTTAGTGGACTCGAAATATGTGGCTTAAACTAAATTATATATCTTAAACTGAATTTTGGGCTTGACTGATGTGCAGATTTTGCAATGACTGATGGCAGATTTTTATAGTTCTATTTTGTCAATAGCTTGTGGCAAAGTAATTTTATGGAAATTTAGAGTTTGTGATCCTTTCCAAATTGTATTTCAATCTTAAGTGCAGAAAGCTTCAGGACTGTTTAAAACACTCTTGTCTGTTGGTGTTGTGGCAAATCATCGCATGAAAACTTTTTTCCCCACAACTTAAAATGCTAAAATGATACTTATTAACTCCAAGAAATAGCTGAATGATGTGTTGAGAGAGTGAAAAAAAAAATGTTTCCAGTTAAACATTCTGGTAGATGAAATGGATACTAAGTGACATTACCAAGTGAATGTTTAATCTCTGAACTTTTTGGCAGGTTTTGTGCTAAATGAAGAAACAGAAGAGGTCCTGATGATTCAAGACAAACACAGGGTAAGTAACATGAGAACTTGTGATTTCTTGATGAGCTTAATGTTAATCACACTGGGTTTTCAGGAGTATGCTTTCATTCTCCCCCTTCCCTCGAGATTTCAGGGATGGAAAGACCACTTGATGTAAATTTCGTCACAAAGAAAATAGCGTAGGCCAAAAAAAAAATAACTCTGCTTCCTATTACATGCCTCTCAAAAGTAGGGTCAGTAGGTTTCTTTGGGTGTCAGTTTTTTGTGCTGAATGAATGGGGACAAAAGCTACCGGTACCAAAACTTGCCACAAAAATTCTTAAGAATTATGGACAATTCATGCTGCTATGCACAACCCTAGTCAGGTATCACAATGGGAAACTTGCGTACAATGTCTGTTTATCGTGTGGTAAGCGTGCATGATGCATCTGAAGGGGTAGGCGATAAACCTTGTGGCGTGGCAGGACAGTTTGTGCAAACACGCTTGCACATTCTGTGAAAAAAAAACTTGCAGATATCTTCTTGCAACATCAACATCTTCTCGACGTGCAGCTATGGAGCTGCGTGCGCGTACAGCATATATTTAGTGCAACAACACTTTTTTGGCTGGGATGCATAGACTGGTTGGCACATTTCCATCATGCCTTCCATGACACTGTTGCAGCACGGCAGGAGCCAGTACTGTATTCCTTCAATTGAGCACATCGCGTGTGTTTTCATCACCCCAGTAACGAAATACGAACGGAACTTGTGATAATAATGGAAGTTTCTTTTGAAAAGTGCAAATGTAAGTTGGGAAACATACAAGTGCTTAGACGTAAAAAGTTGTTGAGCAGTGTTTTGTGGAGAAAGAAAAGACAATAGGATTTCTTAGAATTATTTTATGTAATTTTTAAAATTTGTTTTTCTTGCTGGTCACCCAAGAAATCGGAAACAGAACTTATTTCTATTTTTGGCCTTGTTGACAAGAAGTCTGTATAGGTAATTATGCAATATCAGGTTCATATTATGTGATTACTTACCCTAACAGTGGTCTGCCTCTGATTTCAATAGGATTTTACATACATGTACACCCTTGGTAGTTGATTAGGTTAATAAGTGAAATACACATACTTTATGCATATTTTCAATTTTTGCAAAACCTTACAAAAAGTAGCTTGATTTGAAATGAAACATTAAGTAGGACAAGAATAAGTTGAACAGCTTTTTTAATACTCTTTAATCACATTTATATATTTTATGCATGACATTAATTATACATTGTGCATGCATTATGTATTTTATTCTTTTTCATTCCTTTTTTATTTCATTGTTTGGATTTTTTCATATATTTCATTTTTCTGACATTTATATTGGATATGATTTTCCTAATGAGAAGGAAAATGTACAACTTACACAACACCTCCATGTACACACATGCATATGGGTCATTCAATGAAGTTCGGGCAGTTTGTGACGGCGTCCCTTGTTACATCGGTAACTGTTATTGTCCTTTATTTTCACATTACAACAGATTAAGTCATATTATTCAGCAAAGATGAAGCACACCACTACAAGAACCTAGCAAGATTTAGAACAATGTCAATTTAGAATCCACATGCATGGAAAAAAGATGTTTATTTTCACTGATGTAACAAGGGACGCCATCACAAACTGTGCCCGAACTTCGTAGAATGACCCATATGGAAAAAATAGATTTTTAGATGACACTTAACCTTTTAGGGGTGTGCATTTGCGGGTATTTTTAGGACTGGGTACCCGTTTTTTGTTAACATCGGGTACCCGGAAAAGAGATCGCCTAATAACAAATGGCATTGCGCGCAACCCGGTGGATCATGTGCCCGAAACACGGTTCTTTTTGGTACACAGGAAGCAAGCAGAACATTGTTCTAAACATCGGAGTTAATTTCTCCTACCTTTTTATCAAACGAAATTGTTACCTTCAGTTTGCAAATTTTTTGTGGGTGTATGAAACAGAAAAACAAATCTTCACGGGAAACGTCAGAAAAAAGAACAGAGCTGCAAACCACCTGCATGATATACGCACCTACAAACGCTCAAAGGAAATGTCCCGGATGCTGCATGACCACAGACACGCGGAACGCA